TTTAAGATTTACCTTCTTTCTCCTGAGGATATAAAAAAAATGAACCTTGGCAACAATATCGTTCTCTTTTCTTATTTTTGTTTCTTTTTCTTAAAATTACTGTTTTCCCAGAACTATTTTTCAACCTTTTCTTATTGCTTAAAAAACACATTCTTTTCAGTCCCTCGTTTAAGGCCGTTTTCTTATATCAAGCTGTTTAGGTAATTAAGATTTTTTTACACGCTTCACTACTGGCGGCATAGGTTTCTGTTAAAAAAATTGACAGCAGTTCTCGAGCAATCAAAACATTTATGACAGTAATTAATTTACCAAGCATTGACTAAAAATGAGAATAATTTCCGCTAAAATTCACACAGAAAAAGGGCCAAAAAGATCCAAACAGATATAACAATGTTTAACCAAATGCTGCTCGTAAAAACACTGTAAAAACATACAAAAAAGTTTAGCATACGTTTTCGAATGTCGCTCGCATAACCTCCGGGCATCCCCGTACATGAAGTGGCATTTTGCCAAGGCTGCTGGAATTTCTTCAGACATTTTCGATCCCAAAATCTTTCTATAAATGAACATTATTATGTGATTTTATTGTAAATATATATTTTTATCTATTTATCTATTTATTTATTTGTTTGTTTAATATAATATATATTTATAATGTATGCTTACTTCTAATTATATGTTTAAATAAATTTATATATAGCTGCATTCTTATTGTTGTACATATAGCTCTTGAAGCTACTTTTACGGATACGATAGGAAAAGTTCGACATTGTTACAGTCGTTATTTTTTTGTCTTTACTCTCATTGCGTAGATATTATTTGTTAGAAGTTTTAGTGTTTTCGGCAACCGCTTCTACTTAAATTTTGATGCTTGTTTCGTTTTAGTTTGCTGAAGATGATGTTAGCTGAAGTGTAAAGTTACAACAGTCTGTGATGGGTTCCTAGCTCAGGTTTTCATTAGTACAAATTGATTTAGAGATTTAGCTTACTGACTTGTTTTTTCTTTCTCTGTTTGATTCCAAATAAGGATTGTGAAGCCGAATTTTTTTTTTCATTTATTTATGCAATTTTAGGGTTTTTATTTTGCGTGGACCAGTTTTGCTGTCTTTTTATTAGTGTTAGAAGAAAAAGGTTTAATTTTAATTATTTTAGGGTTAGAAAGAACGAATTTGCGAACATCCTGTCTTATTAAAGAATGTTCGACGTGAAGGTAGATTCTGGTCTTCTTGCATTCAACACTCATCTTGCAGACAATGCGTTTGCGACAGGGTAAACTTTTTGAAATTGGTGTAAAATATTTGGTTGAAAATTACGGGGTATTATAAGGGAAAATAATGGGATATTTTGTTATACGAATGTGCATCAATTACAGTCTTGATTTGCCATCAGAAAGTTTCGGCGGCTTTTTTAGATTTTCGTTAGCAGGCGAAGATGCATGCTTATTTTCTGGCATTGGAGGCAAAGTAGATGAAAAAAAGTACCCCAATGTTGCTCGTTGGTACAGAAATATTGCCAGTTACACTGATGAGGAAAGGAAGCAGTAAGCTTAGCTGTCTTAATGAAGTTTTAATATTGTTCCTAACTTTTGTCTAATCACTCGTACGAAGATTATGGGTTTAGATGGCCTGTTGCTTGTCCATCCGGAACACATGCAAAGGAACCAGAAAACGACGAAGACATCGATTTATTTGGATCTGATGACGAAGAGGACGAAGAAAAAGCAAAGATTGTACAGGAAAGGCTTAAGGTACTTCCTTGAGTTCCTTACAGATTTAAAGGTTAGTTTATCATTTTCGATATGAATGGTCTGTTTTGGTAGGAATATGCGGAAAGGAAAGCTAAGAAAGGGCCGAAAGAGGCAGCAAAGTCTAACGTGATATTTGATGTCAAACCATGGGACGACACAATCGACCTGGGTGAGATGGAGAAACATGTGCGTGCAATACAATGTGATGGTTTGGTGTGGGGAGGTGCTAAAACCCTTCCTGTCGCGTATGGTGTAAACAAGCTTCAGGTATTGCACAGTTTTTTGATTGAGCGTTAATGCGATTATATCTTGGCCGATGAGATTTGTTTTGGTCGTCGCTGAAGTTTTTAGTGACACGTGGTCGTTCTCTTCAGATTTGTTGCGTGATCGAGGATGAAAAGGTATCAACTGATTGGTTGGAGGAACAGATGACAGATATAAGCGACCTAGTGCAATCAGTCGATGTGGTCGCGTTTAACAAAGTCTAGAAATTGTATTTTTTTTAAATAGTGGTGTTGAATAAATGTTGATTTTTCGGACTGGTTTAAAAAGTTTGCATTAGAGCGTATTCACTATTTGTTGTTGTACTTGGATCTGTGGTGGCAAATTTTACTTAGGTTAGGTCAGGTGCCCTAACTTTTTTCGAATTAGGTGCTGTTATTTTTGGTTAGGTACTGTTTTTTGACAATAAATGGAAATAATCATTTTTAGGTGTTTAGTATATGTAGTTTTGGCGGAATTGTTGCAATAGCCAGCAATAAATGGAAGGGTCAACGACACATCAGCTTTGTTCTGTGGTACAGCGTTTGGTGTGTCTGCTGCAAGTGAGAGTTGGTTGTGTTGCAAGTTTTTGAGTCGCAACCAGTAAGCAAGTCTTTTGAAACTGGCAATTCGCTTTAATGTCACGTAAAGTTTAGATTTTTGCAGATGGTGAGGGTGTAGACTGTTTTTTTGTAATTTTCTATTATTGCTCTTAGTAGTCCAACTAGTTTTCTGGAATGGTCTTAAGAGCTCACAACAGATTGCTTTTGAATAGTTTGTAAAGTTCGGGTTTTCATCTTTTACTGAATGGGAGCACTTGATCCACAAAGCAGAGACAAGGCATGGGAGCCTTTAGCTATGGGCGTTGTTTCACCTGAACTAGGAAACGGAAATGTAAGTTTTAGGGGAGGTTAATTTTGAATTGCAAATTTACTGTAATGAGGAGCGGGAGGATTATGAGATTGTTGGTTGAAAGTTTAGAATGCGTAGTCGTCATTGGACTGGTACTGTTTTTTAGATTTTTCTTTTTTTGTTTAGGGGATGGGAGGGTCTAAATTAAAAGTATATCAACTTTTTCAACAACAGACTGTGTTCCAGTGCGGCTTAGTTACTCTGGAATTAAACGGCCTTTCATCCTGGATTTATTGGATTTAATCAATGTCCTCTTTTATTTTTTATAGATTACCAAACTGAGGCATTCATTGTAATTTTTAAATTTGGAAAAGGTGAAGGCTGTTGGAGCATAAAATGGAGAGGTGCCTTTCGTTACTGGAGTATGCTACTTGTGCAGGTATCACAGTCGTCTACGTTCAAGTGGAATACACTTGTTTAAGCTTCTTGCTCGTACATTATCATGAAACTGCTGTCCAAATTTTCCGCTGACTCACAGATTTACTTTTAATTCAGTCGTCGATAGCAAGAGAAAACTACATTTCCAGACTGCACAGAACCGAAAACCAAAATTTACCGATCGTACGACCCTATTAAAGATCTGAATGATCGCTTACAAGCGAAACTTAAAGAAGAAGAGTTTATTTTCGCAGATGATGTAGAATCAACTACGACATCAGGTAGTTGCGACCAGGATCAGCGGATACGCTATTCATCGCTAATTACGAATATATTGATTAAGGTACTTTCACATCTCAGCATTGAACATATTGATATCATTAAAAGGTAAAATTGAAGTAAATTTTTAGAGCGTTCTGAACTGATATTGAAATCAGAGTTTCGATTTTTAACAGCCGTCCAAATCGTTAGCAGATAGTGCTTTTTACTCGAGGTTCCCCGCAATATAATATGTTAAATTAGTTGAGTCAGTTTAGTTTGAAGTTTCATTGTTCAGTGGGGGGGAAGGGGTGCGCACGCTTCCCTGTTTATCTTGTCACAGCAATTCAATAACTCCCTTCTTTTAACGCCAGGAGTATGATCTACATAAACATTAAAATTGTCTTTCGATTTTCTTCTGATATCTGACTAATTTTTTTGAAACCATTCCAGTTGGTTTGGTTCTTGTTTTAATTTAAGGTAGCTTTTAATTCATTACCATTTTTAAGCTTTGCGAAGAGATTGAACTTATTTTGGGAAAGGATAGAGGAACAGAAGTTCAACAAGTTTTGTCGGGGAAACAGCTTTCGGTGGTGTTATCAGCTTTACAATTTTTTGTTGCCACTTCTATTGCACCGTATTTGGAGAAAGGTCTTTTTCAAAATATATTCACTTTTTTCTAATTACTTTATGGTACTGAGTAACTGGCTCAAGTAACAAACGAATGAAATAAAGAATACTGTCACGAATAGTTCTGCTGGTGTGTGGGAGAATAAGTTCAACTTAATTTTTTAATAATTCTTGGAACATGAAACTGTTTCAGGGGTTGGATACGAAGTGGAAACACGTTCAAAACTGGTAAAACATTGGTCACTTTTTGAAGGTGATACAGCCATTAGGCAAAAAAACGTTAGTTTTACTGCATTCTTTACAAACGTCTGACTCCATAACGCATTCAACTATTTTAGCTAGGGTCAGCGATTCAAACTCTGTTTCGCATAATGAAAGTGACTGCTGAGTTGAGATCGATGGTCGTTAGTCATTTTTTGGGAGACCTGATTTGTGCAAATGAGCAGGTACAGGTTTTTTGGTGTTGCTAGATTTTAAATTTAAGGTATTTCAAATAAGCTGCCTTTTAAAATCAAACTGATTCTTTTCTGCCTTTCTCCCTTACAAGTAGACGGTGTATTTTTTTGGCAGATGATTAGCATCTGTGACTGTTCACTGAAGGGCGATTACGAAATGTTTATCAACAACGATGTTTCCAGGTTTTATTTTAATATTAAGATTTTTTTTCTTGTATCTGTTTTATCCAAAAATCCTAAGTTTTTTTTAAATTCAGATTTCTTTTTTTGCTCCATATTTTTTATCAACTTTAGACCTGCCTTGATGTATGAGCTATTTTCCTTGCTGAGTCGTAACAATCCTCAAAAGCGTCCAACTCCACCCAGTTGGTTCCAGGTCGTTTCTTAACGTTCAGTAATAGATTCTTTAATTTGTTTTACGTTTGTCATCTGATTAGTTGAATTCGTTAAGCAGTCCTTATTTTCTTTTTGCTGAAGGTTTTTTCCCGCCTCAAAATTTTTTTTTTTGACAGCACTATTTTACAGAATATTTTATTTTTTTTTTGGACCTTTTAAAAAAGGTTATTTCAGTTAGCTATAGGTCGCAGACTATCTGAACTCATTTTAGAACCCAACGGGTTGTACCATTTAACAACTGCGCTTACTGACAGTAAGCTTTTTGTTATTTCAAGAGCTGCTTACGGTGAAGATAGCGTGTACAGTAAATGTGATTTTATAGATGGTTTGCATATGTTTGAAAATTACGGATTTGTTCATCAGCTGGCACGAGTTTTAGCCAAAAGACCACAGTTTTTGCAAAATGATGATAAACGACGGCCACTTTATTACGGAACTGTTTTGAAACAGTTCTTGCAGGTCATGCAAGTTAGTCGGCAGTAAATTTTCTTTTTTGGAATGAAAATTTAAGTTTAAATGTTAGCAATTCTTTAAATAAATGTTTAGTTACATCCGATGGCCAAGTACGTAGTGAATTGGTTTTCCTCTACTCTTGTTGCTTTTCATGGGGTGGTCCCTCGTGCTGTTGAAATCTGCATTTTTGATACGCTTCTGCATCCTTGGGAGGTAAAACTAATTAATATTTGAAACGCTTTTAACTATAAGTTTAATTGAAATTTGAAATGACTAAAACATGGTTTTAGCTGTTGTCAGCGACTCCGCTTTCTACTGATCTTGGCAATATGACTTGGGACTATCGACTGGATGCATCTTTGAAAACAATTGTATTTTACATGAAAGGCTTACCGCCATCAGCTAATATCCTCTACCTGAATCGGTTTTTAAATGTATTGAGTCATTGAAAATCAAGGTTTTTCCAAGGTCTTTACCTAGATTTACGTCTTCTTATTTTTCAGGTTTTCCCTTTGTGGCTTCAGATGTACGGTAGCGTACTAATAACGCAGGACGAAAGAGCAATGACAGAAAAATGTGGTGAAATTTTTTTGGAGGATGTGGGCTTTTTGCTTGGAAGGATCTTAGCAGATCCAGGGTTAGGAAGTGATGATAAAATGGTATGTAACTTTATAGAAAAATTTTTTCTTATGTGTTATTCAAGACTTTTTCTATCACCTTACAATTTTATTTGTCTTCGGCAATTTGAGTTATATTTATACATGAATTTGACTTGCCCCAACAAATTTGTAAAATAATTTTTTAGGCATTATTTTTATTGGAACAGCTCAACGGAAAGTGGTTTCACATTTTCGGTGCAATATCAATAGAGTTGAAAGGAAAAGTATCTCTTACGGTTAAATATGGCAACTTTAAATGAAAAGATTTTGCAAACGGTACCGTGTCTTTTAGCCAAAAGTGATGGAGATGTCCCTGGAAGACGGTGACAGTAAAGACCCTAAAAATTATGCCATGAAGTACAGTGATATTGAACTGTTCCGCAGATTGGACAAAAATGATGAAATGTCCTGGCTGAATCGCATCGTTCGTGGCATAATGCAGCTACTTAAGGTAAAGGATTTTTTTTGTTCTAAATATTGTTTCTGTGCAACCTTGTGTCAGTCTTTTCTATTCCGTGCTGGTATATGATTCTGGAATTTGTTGATACAGGTAGTGGATAAATCTTACTCACAAGCTTTTTCGTTGTGCCTTTTTTCGCACTGCTTACAGCAATCTCGAAGAAAGAACAATGAAGAGGATAAGGAGCAAAATGACAGCCGTTTCCTTTCAGAGAATTCTTCATTTTTTGAACCAGAAGGTTATTAACTTTTATGTATAAGCTCCTGAAAAAATTCATGGTTTTTTTGAAAGTAAGGGCTCAAAACTTTTAGGAAGTGTGAAGATGCGAATACAGTATTTAATGAGTCACTTCGATGAGGTTTTTGCCGATATTAATTTAGAGTCGGCAGAAGTGCTTCTTTCGGCTGTTAATGTTGCTAAGGTTAGAATAAAGATGCGAATATGGTACTTAACGGGTCAATTACACTGTTTTATTTTTGGAGCCCTTTTAACAACTGGTCACCCTTCGATTTCAAAGTATTTGATTATTTCTAAATTTTAAGAAGTTTTCTCTTCTAAATTTTAGTATTGAATAGGTCATACTGGAGATGGCGTGTAATCGACTTGAACGTATGAGTAGCAACGAATCCTTCGATGTTGTCTCTAAAGAGATGAAGGAATTTAATGATCAGCTGTTTGATCTAAAACTGAAGACTGTTGGGATTGCTGTTGCTCTCGTCAGCGGAGCGCTTCTTAAGGCTGTAAAAAGTGAAGAGGTAGATAACCATTATTTTTCTATCTGCTGAAATTCGGCTCTTTTTTGCTTTCCTTTATCTAAATAAATTTCTTTTTTTTT